TTTACCAAAAATGTAAATATTGCAGAATATACAGCCTGATGCTACATAACTAAGCTCCTTAGATCATGCTGAATAAACTAAATTATTAATGTATCTTAAATACAAAATTATGTTTAGATAGATTTTTACTCCAAAAGCATTTTATTAAAGTAAATTTGATAAAAATAAAAAGAATCTGATTTAAAATTAAATAATTTTTATCCACCCTGATCTAAGGAGATTCTCAGTCATCCATGTTATAGTTGTTCCAAATGTGATTTTTCAAGAGGCAAGTGGACTTTCTAGTTTTTCTTTGAAGACGTTTCGCTTCTCATCCAAGAGCTGAAGAAGCTTCTTGGATGAGAAGTGAAACATCTTCAAAGAAAAATCAGAAAGTCCAATTACCTCTTGAAAAAGCACCTTTGGGACAAACTTTTAATATTTACAGTAATTATATCTATTACCAGCATGTGGTAGGATGCCAATAGCTGGCTGTTTAGCTTTATTCAATTTTATTAGATATATATCCTCATTTTTCCCTGCAAGCTCAATGCTGTGCAGTTGTATCTTTATAATAACTTTGAGATGGACTAGCCTGAAGAATTAGCAGTCAGTCTGAGGAATGTAGTCAGCCCTGTGATGGAAGCCATCTACAAAAAATGCATTCAGGTGCTCAAAAATCTACAATTTTGAAATCAGTAAAGAAAACAATAAGGATGTCAACTTATTTAGATTAAATGTTTTGGATGCTAGTTTTTGATATGTTTGTTATTGTAGCAATAATAACAATAGCAGAAATAGCACATATTTATTAAAATAAGCCAAAAGCTAATACAAATTCACAATAGAAGGAGAGAATTTTAAGAGGACTGATCAATTGCCTGAATGTTGCACACAATTAAATTACTTAATTAGCTTAGTCCCTGTAAAGTTTCAACTTCTCTAAATGCCATTTGAATAACAAGCAAAAATGAATAGTTGGAAAAGTATTTCACATATTAAAACTGATTATTTGAGGATATGTCATGTTTCTCTTTATGCAGGTTTTTCCACTGTATTGAGATGCCAGCACTTCAGTTCAGAAAATAAAGCAGCAGACAAAAGCCTCATGACTCCAATGCTGAAACATCTCATTATGAAAATAAAATCAACTGGTCCTATTACAGTTGCTGAATATATGCGGGAAGTTTTGACAAATCCACTGAAGGTATGATGACATATTAAATATATAGAAGTCAGCTTTGTGGGATTAAAATAGACAGGAAGGTGGTGCGAGGATGGCAGAAAAGATTATTGATAGTTCATGTCCTTCTATCCAGAATATAGCGTATAAGCGATGCTTGAACAAAGTCTGCAGGATTGTCTGGGATGCTACACATTCATTTCACAATTTGTTTTCCTTCTTACCTTCTGGGATGAGGTTTCATAGTATCCAAAGCAGAACATTCAGATTCACAGTTTTGTTCCAAATAGTATCAAACTTGTGAATTCTCAATCTTTCTCTTTCTGCCATGTATTCAAGATAGATGATAGATAGATNCTATCTACCTACCTACTTTTTTTAAAAATTTGCCTCTTCAAAACCTTGGTGAGTCTTATACTCCGGTGCATCTTATACTCCGAAAAATACAGTAGATGCCATCAAATCAGTGTTAACTGTGAGTGTCCACATGGGTAGATTTTCTCCATGACAATCTGTCCCTAACCTGATTCATCAGGTCTTCCAACAATGTACCCATTGCCAGTGTGAATGAGTCCATCCACCTTGCTGCATTCTCTTTTCTTCCACCATTTCCAGCAACAAAGCTTTCTCCAGAAAGCGAAGTGTTCACCTAATGTGTTCCAAGCAAGATCATTTGAGCCTGGTCATTTCTGCTTCAAGTGAAAAGTCTGGATTTATTTGTTCACTGATCTATTACAATTTCCAGCCAGTCATTTCTATTTATTTGCTATTGTTTACCTTTCCTACTCTCTTGTGTACTGTTAGTTCCTTAATATTGATTTTGATTGACGTAAGTGATTCAACAGGCTTCATTTAGCTAGGCATCCTACTGGGAGTCAATTGACACAGATGCAAATAGCTAGAGACAGTCTTTGAAGGAGTCATGAAAGTTTTCCAGACAACATAGCTGATTTAATGCTTCAAGGAGGATGCTAATCTGATGCTAGCACTCTTGTTGAAGCGATTCTTTTGAATACATTGCAAAATACTATGTCCTAAGATGCTATCAAGGCAAGATTTTTTGTGAGGGCTTGGCTCTCTACTTTTCAATAGCAGAATATTAGGGCTGAAAAATCAATAGCAAGATTTCCCAAAACAGCTACTGAAACTGATGATGATCGAATAGAGACAAGCTACAGCAAGCCAAGATGGTATCATTGAGCTTGTTCATATAATTGCATTTTATTATGTATCCTTTCTCCTTTAGTTTTTAAAAGCCCTCGACATTAATTTTCCCCACCAGACAATCCCCTCTCTATTCTATATAATTGTATTAATTATGAGATTTGCACAAGCACTGCTGTAATAAAAACTCTAAAGATAATATGCACTTGTAAGAAGAAGAAAAAACCCTCCCCACACCCAGTCAAGGATAAAAGGATAACTGGTATACCAAGTATAATTTAAAAAAATATGTAATTACCTGTGGAAAAATACTTCGTCTACAGGTATTTTGCTTTCATCTTGTGAAAGGAATTCTTTACTATTCACTAGAAATAGAAATATTAAATATGTCATATAGATTGCTCTTACACTGATTAATGCTGCTAGCTCTATATAAAAATAGATTTATATAAACAACAGAAACCTATTAATACATTAAATTCTTAATAATATAAGGCTGACAAGAAGCAACAACTCTGGAACATGGGATATTTAAGACCAGATGCATAAGTTTCCTATTTCCTATCCTAAATTTACTGAATAAGAGATGTGACTACAATGATTTCTTTCCATTTGGATTCCAAAGCACAACACAATTTGAAATTATCAATATCATTTCAACGTATTTTAAATAAATTAATTTGATTCAAAAGCTTTAACAAAAAGAAGTGTTACAACATGGAGAATTCAATTATTTAGATTCATTGGGGATTGCATCCATCTAATGTCCCTCTGCTGCTGGAGGGATTCGTTGATGAAGTACCAGCATCCCAGGAGAATAAAGAAAGTGATGATTTAGATGATTTATACTACAGTTTATTTATCTTCTTACAATCCTCCAAACTTTTTAGATCTTTTTCCCTTTAAAAAGCATTCATTATCACAATGCTACTGAAAATGCCCTATTTACAAAATTCCAAGGCAAGTAAAAAAAAACTCCTTCTGAATTAAAATTATATAGGTATGTCTGGTGTGTATACTGTACTCAAATTCTTAAGGGAAAAGTAGAGAGACAAATCTTCCCTATTCCTCCTCTTGTATCCAGTTCTAATCGCTACTCTAAATTCATGAGAATGAAGCTGGACAAAAAGATATCAGTTCTTGGAATTAGAAAGATATATAATATTTCAACAATTCCTCAGACTAGCTGCCAATTTGAAATTTTACTCAAAGCAAACACCAATACCAGATATACCAATATCTGATATCTGATATACCAATATCAGAACAAATACATTCATTATATAATATATTTAAGAAAGTTTACATTCCTTGTTTAAACCATTTAGTCAGAAAAATGTAATTGTGTGGTAACCTCCAGTCCATGGACCAACACCTATCTATGGCATGCCAGCAACCGGGCCACACAAACAAGCAAAGCCCCATTTGCAGGATGCAGGCAGCATACAAAACCACATCCCTTCCAGCCTGCAGAAAAATCTCTTGCCACACAACCAGTCCCTGGTGCCCAAAAGGTTGGGGCTTTCTCTGCCTAAGGAGAAATGCCCCCCTCCCCCCAAAAAAACTATTTTTAATTATATCAGAAAATTGAGTATCTCCTACATTTGCATTCATGAAAATCTCTTCGATCCAATGGAAACCTCTAGGAATGGAAGAAACAAATGTGATTGCTAATTATCTCCTTTATCCCTAAGACCATTGAATGCGATCCAGTCCAAATTTTCTTTAGAGAACTGAAGAAAACTCCAGAAAAATGTAGTTAGTATTTTGGGAGCGGCATGAGAAATAGCAGAAAACTTCCCTTGTATAATAGGCATTTCTGTTCATAGGACCCTCTGATTCAGGAGACTTCAGTGAATGATATTCAATGAACATAACACATTTTATAGCTTCTATTGAAACTGTTGGATATTACATCAGTGTTGTAATGACAGTATATTACTAGTGATAATCTTTAGAATTGCAAGGTATTTTACCTGCCAGGTTTCGCACATCATTCATGGACTGTTTCTTCTTTGGCTGCATTACCACACTACTAGTATTCTCTGCAAAAATAAGTTAAGAGATCAAACAAACTTATAAGTTGCTCATGTTAACTTTAATCTTTGATGCTTTACTAAAATAAAGGCTTCATACCTTTGCCTTTGTGAGCTTTGGGATTTCTATAAACAAAACGATCCAAAAACCTCATTAATGTGAAATCCTGTAGCGGATCACCTGAATATTCAATGTAATTACCCTGCATCAGAGAGAGAGAGAAAAAATCACATTTATAGTTAGCATCAAGAAATATGCCAGTGGAAATTTTAATTTTAACGTTAATGCTATTTTTGTTTTTATAATTATTTTATACATGTTCTATTTTTTATTATTATACCCTACCCAGTCACTTCCTGTGACATGGGGAGCCATATAAATGTGATTAGCTACACAAGTCTTATCTACTTAAAGTGAACTACTAACAGGAAGAATTGCTAGGCTATGACACTGATTACTTAAAACTGTTGGGGGAAATTGTAATTCTGCATAATCTGGATCAAAACAGTATATCCAGTTGCTTAAAGAATAAACAAGATAGTAATAACTCTTCCTGTTCTACTCAGTAGACTTGAAAATACCAAACAAATAGAATCAATCAGTTTATCTTGTTGAAATGAAAATCAAGTATCTGCATCTTGAAATACGTTGACAAAGTCTATTTCTAAACGATGTCTATGTTTAATATAATCAATTGGCAAGATGGCCACATTAAACTAAACTGATAGGTAAATTACACCCCCATTTGTTTTTGCTTCCTTTCTGTGTTTTGGGATGGGAGAACCTTTCTCTAAAATTCATAGACAAAATGTAAAGGAAAATAAGAAATTCAACTAACCTCTAGAATTCTTTTTGCAAAAACAGCCACAGATGGATGGAAGTGTTCTGAAAGCTAGAAAGACCAAAGTTTTATGTTCAATACTTTAAGATGCTGAAATCTCTGTTAAGACTACAAAGAGTTATTCAACAAGTCAAGAGGGAAAAATAATTGCACAGTACAAACATTTAGTACCGTAATTTCTTTGGTATAATACATTTTTTAATACTAAAGTCCTACAAATACTCAAACCTGCATATCTAAAACTGAATGAAATACAGGAAAGAGAAAGATTAGCATTTCCGTTCCTTCTAATACCACACCTGAGTGACTATTCATCTTGTGTCCTCTAAACAGTACCTTCCTGAGTTACCAAAAATGTATATATAGTTTGCTAAGTATAAATATGTAATTGAATAATTATCCACACTGTCCTAAGATAGGAAATCACATTTTATTATTTCATTTAATTGTGCAATTCTACTTTTGTCTTTCCATTTGGATCTTAAGACAGAGCATTCCTCATTTCAACTTCACAAGCTCCTTGTGAAGGAGGTTAGGGTAAGAAACATGACTTATCCAAGACATTGAAAGTAAGGAGGAATTTGAGTCTGTGTACTCTGTAACTAATGGTGTAGAAAGTGGGAAACCATTTTTGGCTCAGACACTCACTTATTTTGTGCTTTGCCTGGGAAAGCATCATGAGGTATAGCTAATGATATCATCAACAGGTGGAACAGAATGAGTATCAAATGACTGAAGCAGCATAGATGAATTGGTGTATGTGTATGTGTGTGTAACTGTACAATGTAATGATCACATTCGGCAGATTTCTCCTCTGATTTTTCATACTTGAAAATTTGTACCTTCTTCAGTTCCCAAAAGCTTGTTCTATCAGCTTCACAGTAGGAAGGGTTTCGGGATAATGGGTCATAGCTACCTGTGCCTTTGCCACCTGTTAAAGAATAGATTTTTATTACTTTCCAAAATAATTAACAGAAATACC